AGGCCCAGAGAGCAAAATAAGAGAAGGGAGAAATTTGTCTTTGGACACTTTGATTTCTCTCTTCCGTTTCTGCTTTTCCTTTTAGTTCAATCCCTCACCCCTTCCAGCTCGTGCCCGAAGGCTAGTTGCCTCAGGGGCCACCCTCCCATCCAAATCTCCTGGTGCATTTTCCTTCCTGATCTTCCCTCTCCTACCTGTCAGCTCTCTGCTGCTGCCTGTCCCTGGGCCTCCTGGCTCCAGCCACACTGGACTCCTTGCCGTGTACCTGTGTCACATCCACAGCCCCTCCCACCGCAGGGCACTCCCTGGTCCTTCTGCTCAGGTCTCTGCCTGTTTCTCTCCCTCACTGCCTGACAGTCTTTATTCAAATACGCCTTGTTAAAAAGCTCTTTCCTGCTAACCCAGTAAAAGTGGTCGTGCCTCACCCCCATCCCTCCCCTGCCTTATTTTTCACTACCTGACACATCATGTCAATATTGTTGGTCTGTTTCTCTCTCTCCTCTCACCAGAATGTAAATTGTTGAGAGCAGGAATTAACGTCTGTTTGATTCCGTCCCTGGCACATAGTAGGCACTCAATAAATATCCAAACAAAGGAATCGCCCAGGAACAAACAACTGTGCCTCAGGCTCTGTTGGAGGCTGAGCTCTGCTCACACAGTTGATATTCACACCTCACCCCTGCCAGGTGGGACATCACATTTGACAAGGACTTTCAGGAGAAAATGTCTTACTCCAAAGAGTGGCCACAGGGCGGACGCTGTGGCATTTGTGTCAGTCCATGGAAGCCGACATTTTGAAGCCATGCTCAGCCACCTTAGAACTACCCTACACTCACTATTCGTCTCTGTAAACTCAGCAGCCGGCGCAGGCCGGGCACACGGTAGTTGTTGAATCAGTGCTGGTGAACTCCAACAGCGTGGGAGGCTCTGTTGCGCCCACATAGAAGGCCTGATCTGTGTGTAGTCGTTCAGTCGTCACTTCCATGAGGCTTTCTAATTGATGGCTGTTACCCCTTTTGCTTACAGAACTCTCACCTCACAACCAGCCCAACAGCCAGGCACAAATTCGGGTCCAGCTTATCTTTCTGCTGATGACCTTGTGCTCTGTTACCATGGTATTGCCACATGTGACTTACAGACAACATAAGGTGGTCACACAAAGAACCCAGGCTTTCTCTAGAGAGCAAATAATTGCTTAAGTTCCTGGGTATAATTAAGAAGGTTGAGATCTGATTGCCCGTTTCGCACCAGGCTTTCCTAGTGAGCCATTTCCCTAAGTGGGAAAGAAAATTGTTGTGCGAAGCAATTGTACCTTAACCCAGCATACAGCTCATGACTTTCATTTTTAATCAGTGCTAAATTTATCAGATCTTGCCTGGATTTGCAATAGAACAGCTGCCAAGCAAACTGTGAAGGAACAGAACGCGTCAACATTCAGCTAAAACCAGCACGGAAATCCTTCCAATGCAAAACCAGCAGTTATTGTCAAAAAGAGCCCACCTGAGCGATTGCCGCTGACGAAGGGAACGTCGCACACCTAAATCTTCTGCAAGACGCCTGAACACACATCCATGAGCAATTGCTTATCTGCAGCAAAGGGTTTCCATTCACTGGACAAAGATGCCAACGTAAGGAACCCATTTTCAAATGCATCTTAACTCCTGTTAATGGTTAACTCCTATTGCTTATAAGTTTTACCCACTAGATAGGCTTGTTCTCAGGATCCTGTTCAATTTACCATTTACCTCATTTAATTAACGTAATTGAATAACTTCAAATTTAACAGTATCTTTCTTTATTCTACCCAAGGTTTTCCCCCAACTTTAGCTAAAATATCATAGTTCTCATCTTAATGAAGAACTCTGCTGATCCTATTTAAATGTTTAACGCCCCAATATTCTCCATTATTACCCTGTCCCTTCTATGGTCCTTCACAGCACTTATCACTATTTCTTACTTATTTTGTTACTGTCTATATTCTCCCCAACTCAACTGTCAGCTCCACAAGCCAGGATTTGTGTTTATTTCCTTTCCTTAGAGCCTGCCCGACCTAGGCAAAGTGCTCAATAAATATTTGTTGAACGAATGAATCAATGAATGATGGTTAAGAGTGTTGACTTCAGAGTCAGGCTATCTGGAGTTAAACCCAGGCTCTACCCCCTGAGGGAGATGTTTAAGCTTTTTAAGCCTCAGTTTCCTCTTCTACAGAATGAAGACGATAATATTAACACTAACACTGCAACTAACAGTAAGGCTGCATCTCATGGTGTTATGAATGGCAGAGGAAGGTTGCATGTAAAAAGTCGGCAACATTCTGGACACAAGGAATTCCCTTGGTAGAGGTGGATGCTGTTGGTTGCTTTTGTGCTCCACTGAGCATCCCAAAAGCTCTCAAGAGCCAAGGGGATCTGCCCAGAGGCCTTGGGAGTTGGGGATCCAGGCTCCTCTCACAAATCCCTTCAACCGTAACAGCATCTCCGCTTGGTTAAAATTTCTATTTCTTTCTTTCTTCTTCTTTTTTTTTAGGAAGATTAGCCCTGAGAAAACTGCTGCCAATCCTCCTCTTTTTGCTGAGGAAGACTGGCCCTGAGCTAACATCCATGCCCATCTTCTTCTTCTCTACATATGGGACGCCAACCACAGCATGGCTTTTGCCAAGCAGTGCATGTCCGCACCCGGGATCCAAACCGGCAAACCCCGGGCGGCTGAGAAGCAGAACCTGTGAACTTAACTGCTGTGCCACTGGGTCGGCCCCTCTATTTCCTTTTTTTTTTTTTTTTAAGGTTATAAAAGTTAACATCCTTGTGAAATTACAGTGGTACATTATTATTAGTCATGTTGTAGGTACACCACTTCACCCCTAGTGCCCTCCCCCCACCCACCTTTCCCCTGGGAACCACCGATCAGTTCTCTTTGTCCATATGTTAACTGCCACCTATGAGTGGAGTCATACAGAGTTCGTCTTTCTCTGCCTGGCTTATTTCACTCAACATAATACTCTCAAGGTCTATCCATGGTGTTGTGAATGGGACAACTTTGTCCTTTTTTATGGCTGAGTTGTATTCCATTGTATATATATACCACAACTTTTTTATCCAATCATCAGTTGCTGGGCACTTAGGTTGGTTCCATGACTTGGCTATTGTGAATAATGCTGCAATGAAGATAGGGGTGCATGGAGCTTCTGAAATTGCTGATTTCAGGTTCTCAGGCTATATACCCAGTAGTGGGATGGCTGGGTCATAAGGTATTTCTATTCTTAACTTTTTGAGGAATCTCCATACTGTTTTCTATAGCGGCTGCACCAGTTTGCATTCTCACCAACAGTGTATGAGGGTTCCGTTTTCTCCACAGCCTCTCCAACATTTGTCACTCTTGGTTTTGGATATTTTTGCCATTCTAACAGGTGTGAGGTGATATCTTAGTGTAGTTTTGATTTGCATTTCCCTGATGATTAGTGATGATGAGCACCTTTTGATGTGTCTATTGGCCATCCGTATATCTTCTTTGCAGAAATGTCTGTTCATGTCCCCTGCCCATTTTGTAATTGGGTTATTTGATTTTTTATTGTTGAGTTGTGTGAGTTCTTTGTATATTATGGAGATTAACCCTTTGTCGGATAAATAACTTGTGAATATTTTTTCCCACTTAGTGGGCTGTTTTTTTGTTTCAATCATGTTTTCCCTTGCCTTGAAGAAGCTCTTTAGCCTGATGAAGTCCCATTTGTTTATTCTTTCTATTGTTTCCCTCATGTGAGGGGTTATGGTGTCTGAAAAGATTCTTTTGAAGCTGATGTCAAAGAGTGTGCTGCCGATATTCTCTTCTAGAAGACTTATTGTTTCAGGCCTAATCTTTAGGTCTTTGATCCATTTTGAGTTTATTTTAGTAAATGGTGAAAAAGAATGGTTGATTTTCATTCTTATACATGTGGCTGTCCAATTTTCCCAGCACCGTTTGTTGAAGAGACTTTCTTTCCTCCATTGTAGGCCCTCAGCTCCTTTGTTGAAGATTAGCTGTCCATAGATGAGTGGTTTTATTTCTGGGTTTTCAATTCTGTTCCATTGATCTGTGCATCTGTTTTTGTACCAGTACCATGCTGTTTTGATTACTGTGGTTTTGTAGTATGTTTTGAAGTCAGGGATTGTGATGCCTCCAGCTTTGTTCTTCTTTCTCAGGATTGCTTTAGCAATTCGGGGTCTTTTGTTGCCCCATATGAATTTTTGGATTCTTTGTTCGATTTCTGTAAAGAATGACATTGGAATTCTGATTGGGATAGCGTTGAGTCTGTAGATTACTTTAAGTAGTAAGGACATTTTAACTATGTTTATTCTTCCAATCCATGTGCAGGGAATGTCTTTCCATCTCTTTATGTCGTCGTCGATTTCTTTCAAGAAGGTCTTGTAGTTTTCGTTGTATAGATCTTTCACTTCCTTGGTTAAATTTATCCCCTCTATTTCTTTTTAATTTGCTTACTGTTACAGGTAAGATTTCATTTGGGAAAAAAATTATTCTACACTTTTAAATAGTTTGAAGTTCATCATCATTAGTAGTATGAAGAGAAACATTTAACTTTCATTCTTCTAGGATTGAGCATTGGTGCTTCAGATGACAACTTTGCATCTGTCTAATGGACAATGTTGTCCATTGCAGTCTAGGGAACAGAAAGAGACGGGAAGAGTAGATCGCATGGAGAAAAAAAGGGAGTCAAGTTACGATGCTTGCCAAGGGCAATACCCGGCACAGGGCAGGTACTCAGGAAACAGCAGCTCCATCTCCTTCCTCATGGATGCATAAGGCAGCCACAAACCCACATCCAAAAGTAAAGCAAACTTATTTTAAGTCTCAGTGCTCATGCTGTGAGGCTTGCCTGTCATTTGGATCATACAGAGCATAGATCCCATGTGTAGTAGGAGCAAAAAGGCACAGTGATCTCTTGAAAAGATTTCAGAAACTTATGCCTGATCTTTGTTTCCATTTATTTTTTCTGTATTAACAACCAGAGAAACTGGAGCTCATCCACAGACCCCACAGCCAAAATCAGATCGGCCGTCAGCCCAGGAAGAATCCACCTGTCGGCATTCTTGACCAGCGTTCGCCTGGACATTTACCTCAGAGAAAAGCCCTCGGATTCCTTCCTAAATAAATGCTTCATCACAAAGAAAAAGCAAGAATAGGAATGCTTGCTGCAGAAAGCCCCTCCTGGTAATCAACAGCCATGGCTACTAGTGCGTTTTTGTGACTGCGCTCAGCCACTGTGGGAAATGACATTTCCAGCCTCCAAGGTTGAACTCTCACCTTGCTGGCCTCCTCACTGCCATATTTTGAGAGTCTGGTGAAAGGCCTCCCTTGGCCAACAAAAGACAGGAGGAAGCAACAGGGGATTAGTGCGGGGCCAGAACATGAGGACAGGACTTGAAGGGACCGACCTGGGGAAAGAACAACGCTGGGCTTTGGGAAACGGTCCTGCGTCTGATTGACAAAAAATGCGACTCGGGAAGTGACTCAAGACTCCTTCCCACCACTGGGTTAACTCAGGACTGGCTTGGGAAGAGAGGGGCACTGAAAGGGAGTCTTCGATGAGCATACAGAGAAGAGGAAAGGGATAGGAGAGATGGGGAGGGGAGTCGTGTGATCCCTCAGACCAGGTATAGTCAGAACCTGAGTCCTGAAACTCAAATCATCGATTTGACTTTTTTCAAAGTCTCTGCTGGCCTCAAATCTCTGAGCCCCGGACCTAGGCTGACCACCCTTGGCGTCACCCTCAGGGCTCACTTAAAACCTGGTTAGCTCTTTGAACACCACCCAGCGGTCTCCACACTTGGTCCTCTGACAGTGCTTGTCTGCATTGGGCTTGTAGGCAGAGCTCTGATTCTGACCCCAGGCAGTTGGCAGCCTGGCCTCTTCCTCTGGCCTCCCTCCTGTGTGCCTCTCCTGTGCCCCCCACCTACCTCAACATGAAGGTATTCAGGTCCACAGTTTAGACATCCTGTGAGGTACTAGAGATACCATCTGAATCCAGCTCTGTCCGTCTGTCCCAGTCTAGTATAGAGCAGTGTTTTTTTTTAAAATGTTTTTAACGCCAATTCACAGAAAGATGAAATTTTGCATAATTACTTAATGCACATACCTACACAAATATACTTATATGTGTGTAGGTATGTGTATTAAAATTAAATAACTACAATTACACAAAACAACACTAATTAAGGAGCCATAAAATGAATTCTGATATTTTTTGTTCTATTCTACTCATTTTTTAACGCCAGTCACAACCCACTAAGTTGATTTTATGATCTGCAATTTTAAAAACCCTGGATTAGTGGAGGAGACAGACAAGAAAATAGATTATTATAATGTGGTTTGGATGGTATTACTGTAAGGTCACAGTCAGGGTACCACTGGAGCACCAAGGAGAAGAACCAGCAGGAAAGCAGATGCCAGTAACATGCTTGTGGCATCTCCTCCCACTGTGCTCCACTGCCTCCCAGGGCCTCCAGGAAGGTGACAGGAGCTGCGATTTTTACATGGCTGTGGATGGTAGGACTGGGATCATCAACCAGAAGGATAGGAGGAGCAGGGAAAAGGATCGCTGGCTGAAGTGACAACATGTGGAGGAGCAAAGGGCCCGGGAGCTGGCCTTGCGTGAGAAGCAGACAGTGGATGTAAGCAGAATGCAGAGGCTGAGCGGGAGGACTTCACCCTGAGGGTACTGGGAGGGCCTGCAGAAGATTTCAAGTGGATCAGGTTTATGTCTTAGAAAACCTGGGTGGATGCTGCTAGAAAAGAAAACATGTCCCACAGCCAAACTGTGAACAATTTGGAGAAGACACTTTCAGACCAAAAATACTCACAATTTACTCTGTGGTAGGTTTTTAATATTAGGGGAGAGAAAAAGAATGAGAAGACTAAGATGCAGTGGCGACTTGTCGTTTCACTTTATTCTTCAGCCTTCCACTCTTGGTTAGGCTCCTGGAATACGATAAATTTCAGACTGAAGTTCTCTCAGAGGTCGCTTGAGAAAGCTGAGGGCAGACAGAAAGTGTCCATGCCAGGGTCGCCTGGATGGGTCAGTGAGGAGGGATCCAACAGCAGGCATTTCTGTAGCTAAATTTATGCTGTTCAATAGGGCAGTCACTAGATCCTTGTGGCCATTTAGATTTAAATTTAAGTTAATGTAAATTAAATTTTTTTACAAAATCCAGTTCCTCAGTCACATTTCAAGAGCTTATGTGGCTGGTGGTCACTGGAGCGGTCATTTCCATCACTAGAGAAAGTTCTGTTGGACAGCATTGCTTTAGATAACTTCGTTCAGCCACATGTTAAGTCATTCTTCATATCTCACGATTTGTATATTCTGAGACAAATCTGCAAGTAGAGAGCTGGACTTAGAGAACAAGGATGTTCTGCTTCACTCCAGATAGTTTCTGGTTATTGCTAGTGGTCTTTTGTTTGAACCAAGGCCAGAGAAAGGACTCTCTCAAGGCTTGTTCATTCTCTTTTCCTCTCACTTTTGTTCTCAGTCTCTCTCTCTCTCACACATGCACAAATACACACAAGAATCTTTTCTTATACCTTGAAAGCCTTTTCCTGAGGAAAAAAATATGCTCGGTGACAAGGCCATATCTAATAGGATTTGGACATTTCTTCCTTTCCCCAACAATTAGTACAGATAAAATAAGGTTATCATGAGAAGTCAGGGCAACCTTGATCCACTGGGCTCTCAGAGAATAAATATGAGGAACGATAATCCTTAGGAAGATGTGTCACAGAGGAGTAGTGTCCCACAGGGAGTGAGAACAGAGTGCTTCTGATTACGCTTCACATGGCTGGAATGAGCCGCGTTCCTCGAAACCTGCTCAGAGGCCAGCCTGACTGAGGTCAGCAGGGAAGGCCCATGAACTTTCAAAATGCCTCCCCAAAACAGGCTGCATCCAGCAAACTCATGGGACCCCTGCCCACCATGTCCACTGCCACTGTCCTTGCCTTGACTCCTCCTGGACACCTGAAGATGCTGACCTGGGGTGGGTCCACTGGCTTACATGAAATCATAGAAGAGGACCTGCTCGTGAAGAGTTGCTTGGCAGCTAATGGCAAGACAAGGCTCAGAACCTGGGTTTCCAGTTACCTGGCATGGAGCTTTTCCCAGTGGATATCACGGTATTTCATATTTTGTTAAATTCTATAAAGCTATTAATATTGGAAGAACAATTCCTTTTCTTCAGGGTCAAAAGAGAAAGAGTTAAGTGCCCCTTGAAAAATACACGTGAAAAAAAAAACACATGTAGTTACAATTAACACATAATTCTACCAAGTACTGAAAAGTTTAAAAAGAAATTGTACCTGTGAAAGGCCTCTTACCACATTTTACAGTGTTCAGTAAATGGAGATTATGGCTGTTCTTACCTTGGTGACCAAGTAGTAGAACTGAGACAGACTTTTATACTCAGACAGAGCTGGGTTCAAGTCCAAGCCCGTCCAATTTCTACCTGGAGGCCTTTCGGCAAAACTAATTCTAGAAAAATGTGGAGCGGTGTAAAGTACTAATGGGCAAATTTATATTAAATAAGGTATGTCTAAAAAGTAAGCACTATAGATTGTTTTCCCCACTTGGACAAAAACTTACCTGTTCATCATTAGCATGTTCAATGAGTGATCAAATATGAAAGCAAGTCTATTCTGCATTAAAAAGCCACACAAAAGCATCCCTAATATACCAGGAACAGTGCTATTATAAGTAATAAATTAAAAAGTCCACTGATCTCTCTCTCTCGTTCTTTCCATGTGGCTGTTACATACGTTTATGAGATTTCTCACCTTGCCGATAGCGCTGATTTATCCCACGGTCTTGCCCTTCTTATAATAATTAGAAGCATCAAACAGATCATATAGGTGGCAAGAGAATAAAAAGTTTACAACGTTAATGTTGTAACTACGGTTCTGAATTACATACGCAGTAGGACCTCCTGAATAGCTTTCACGGTGGTGAAATGAGATTGAATTCTGTTTTCAGGCACTTCTTGGTCTCTGTCTGGCAGAGCCTTGACTGTGATTTTGTTCATCCAGAGAGGAAGAACTCATGGCAAAAATGCATTGAGAAGCGGGCTTTGCCTCTGCAGAGCATTTCCTGTGCACAAAGCCCTTTGCAGGCATGCTCATAACTTCTTTTCTCCCAGATAACAGCATCAGGGCCATCTAACCAGGTTACACAAATTGCATGCCGATGGCTCTGGGTGCTTTATGGACCTCTGCAAAACTGAAGGAGAACCCTCGTCTCCTGGCCTTAATAACAGTGCCAGATTGCTGCTGCTTCTAAAACAAAAAAATAAAATAAAGCAAACTAAAATCTCCTGGTCTTAAAGGGCAAGACTTTGAAGAGAACAAATATCTTGGGTTTTGTTCAATGCACATTTAAAGTGACAGTTACCACATTACCTATTATCGCTGCTGATTGCGTCTTACTGTGTTTAATTTTCTCGTTTCTCATTACGAGCTCTTTACTCTACGCAACTGTTTCCATTTATAGTGTAGGCTTTTCTCTCCAAAGCGTATAGAGTTTTCTGTCATCTCTGAGACGAAAATGATTTTTGGTTTTTTCCTTTGCAGTTACTCTTCGAAGTAAATGAATAAAAACACTACATTATTTATGTTCTGGATGGATAGACAGCAGGTCAAAACCCACACTAGTGCCTATGGCTTCAGCTGCCCCTCCACAGAGATGGAAATGACGGGGGGATCCAAAGCTCCCCTCCATCCTTTGGTCCATCTGGTAGGGGGACATCCTTTCTTGTCCCCCCTACCAGAACTAACTGCAAAGCCTTCATCTAAGTTTTCCAGAGACTTCTACGTTCTGGACTTCCTTTGAATAAGAAAAATTAAGGCAACAAAAGCAAAAGCATTTCACTGCTTCTAGATAGCTTTTTTCGGAACTTTTGAGCTCCCTGCTGATATCTGCATGAAATTGGATTCAATATTTTCCTCTCATTAAAATGTTCAGGAAGACTGGCGTGCTGTTAAAGGAGCGATATTTAATACAACAGTCTCAGGCTCTTATGTGCCCATCTGTTTATGATCTACAGGGACACAGATCTAAAGCAACTTCCATTTCCCTGTGGCCTGAGGTCTTCCCTTGACTCCTCACAATTTAAATCCCTGCTTTGAAGGAAGAAACCCAATCACATCAGTTTTGACAGTGCTGACTTTCCTTGTCTAAACATAAGATGCTCATTGTTCTGCAAAAACGCTGTGGTCAGAGAGTCAGAGAAGCTGAGTTTCTGAAAGGCAAGAAGAATTAGTTCAGTGCTTGCCTTGCCCAAAACTTATGATCTTCTCAAACAGGTTGTTCAGAACCTCAATATATGAGACGTATGATGATGGAGCTGCTCTGGTGGGGAGCACCAGAGAGGAGTCATAACTCTGCTCATTCCACCTCTGCCTGGAGCAAAAATGAATCTTTCATGTGCTCAATGAAAAATCAATCACTACACCGATCAGAAACTATAATGGCATGGGATTTTTAGCCATTTCTTCCTTTAATTTTCTTTAAGCACCAGAACTCTTTTCCCCAACAATTTCTATAGGTTCTTTCTTCGGCACTTGCTAGACAGTCTCGCAGCGGTGACTGTTGGCTGAGTTTCAATCTGTCTCTGATTTGCTCTTCTAGGCTCAGTCTTCAGCCCAGTGTTTGGTGGTTTTCTCCCCTAATAATGTTTCCCTAAGGAACCCAGGAAAAGACTGAGAGGCACTGTGGGATGGAGGCACTCCTGAACTGTGTTTCCATGGAAGACCCTATGAAGACAGGTTTGGCCCTAGAAACCTGCTGCCGAGAGAAGGAGAGAAGCATGGCCCTGTTCAAACAAGCCAGGGGCATCAAGGTGCATTTTAGTAGAGAAGGTGGTAAAGGAGGAGGTGGAAGGGACACAGTTATGTGCTGCTCTCAACCAGGGTTGCCAGATTTAGCTGGAAGGAAGGAAGGACAGAAGGAAGGGAGGAAGAAGGGAAGAAAGGAAATAAAAGAGAAGGTCACCACGGGACATACTTATACTAGAAAACTATTCATTGTTTATCTGAAATTCAGATTTAGCTGGGCATCCTTATTTGACCTGGCAACTCTATCCCTAACTCCCCCTTCTCTCTACGCTCCCACTGGAGCAGCTCCACCATTATCCATTTCATAAATCTTGATTCTACATAAAATTGTTTTAAGAGGGGATTCTGATGCTTTAAAAAAGTTAAAATGAGGGAACAGGTGAAAATCACCAATACGCTCCAGCAAATAGGTTTCATCTCTGGGTATATAGGACAGGAAAAGGATGTGCACATGCTATAAGTTCATGGTAAGAAATTTTAAAATTTATTTTATTATAATCTAACACACCCCAAGAAGACTGCAGGTACTAGATCGAATTATTGGCTCCAATTCTCCTGTAGCCCTGTGTTTTTGCAGTTCACCCCATTAGAGTCAGAATGTATTTCCCTGCCCCCTGACTTGGGTTTGGCAGCCTGTCTGCTTTGGCCAGTGGGATATTATCTGACGTGCGTGCATGGTTCGTCCTGTTCTCTTGCACTCTGCCATCTGCATGAGAAGACCATGCATCAGGGCTTAGTCCACTTGTTCTATAAAATGAGATCCTTGGAGCAGATCTAAATTGAACCTATGGCCTGGAGTCAAGCCCAGCTACTCATGAGCCAGAAATAAGGTTTTTTTTTTGTTGTATTTTGAGGTAGTCTGTTATGAAGCATCACCATGGCAAAAACTGACCTATACATTTCACCTCCACACTCTGAGAGCATCTATGAAGGCTGCCAGTTCCTTCAGAAGCCCAGATTCACAACAGCATGCATGACACAGACTTTTCTATTTAGGTAGGACATTTTTGAGCAAAAAGTTTAGGGGCAATGAATTCCCCAAATTTCCCAAGATTCACAGAGAAGCCACCTACTGAAGGAAAATTACCCTCCAGATTGCTAATAAGATTAACACTAATCTGCTCAATTTAAAAACCAAATGTTCTTTCCAAGATTTTTTAAAAAGCATTGCAAAGATAGAAATGAGGACTAGCCACCATGAGAGATTATAAAACTGAACAGCTGTGCAGGCAACTCATTTATTAGCATAAACATTTAACCGGGCAGAAGTTGGTGATTGTTGTTCCCCCCTCCACTGAATTTTACATTCAGGATATATGTTTCATTAAACTCACTATTTGCGGGAGAAATCCAGCATGTAGCAGATGGGAAAGTTAGAGAATGATTTTTCGTTTTAGTCCGTGGTGTTCTGGAGAGATGCCTGCCACCACAACTCTCCTCTCTACCCACTCCTTCAAAAATACATCAAAACTCCACTTCAATTTCCGTGCTATTTGCCTCCTAAGACACCTTTCAATATGATAAAGCCAAACATTTGTATTAATATTTCTAAACACTGCTAGAGGGATTGGAACTCTTCAAAAATCACACTGTAGGCTGCATTATACAATTTGCCCACATTTGGAAACCAAAATGAACTCTTCAATGGGGCCCTTGTGTCAGAGATTGCATTGGGAACTATATCAAGTGGCCACTGCAAATGAGGACACTTAATAACTTTTAAACATGAACTGTAAAATGTACTCTCTGTGAAAGAACAAGTTAAATTAAGAAAAAATACAGCGTGGGTCCAAAGTTACAGTGTGGTTTTCAAGACAGTGCACAGAAGTTTAAAATCTTGCTTAAACATGATAAGATTCTCCCTCATCTATGGTGTCAAGTAAGGGATGGTAGCTAGTGAATTAAAATCATATTTCTCAAACATTTCTACCAAAAATATTCTTTTAGGCAGAGGAGAAAGGACCTCAACAGGTCTGATCTCAGTTCAGACTAACATGGTTTACTGCAAATTAGGTATTTTATCTTCAAAATTCATAATTTTTGCATTCTGTTTCATAATATATCCAGGTGGTTTAACATAAAAATAACATTTCCAATTACTGTGAGGGAAGAGAAACAGTTTCTTCAAGGCTCACTGGTTAATAACAAAAGATACTGCCGTAGCGAATCTATCAAACTTGGAAAATTGGGCTCCATTCAAGAGCCCTAAATTTGCGTAATGGTTAAAACATCCTTGACGATGTCACAAGATTTTGAGAATTCAGAATCACATAAATACTGAAATACAAATAATAGTGGTTTCTTCACTTCTTTATAAGCCCTCTGAAGTGAAGAGTTAATGATGACAGGTTGGGTCCTTGAGCCATTCCTTCACCCTCTCCAGTGGAAAGCCCCACAGTTCGTAGATTCAACCTAGGCAGACTAGCCTTCCGGTTGCACGTCTCCTTGGAACTTTAAAGATGAAACCTTGGCTTTAAGAGTTGCATGGTGGGGTGAACGTAAAGGCAGTGATAATTGGGGGTTCTCTTGGTGCCTGTGGGTCTCACTCCTAGAGATTCTTCTCCTTAAACTGCCGGAGATGACACAAACTCACAAATTAGGCTTGGTCTTGAGTCCTTCCCAAGTATGCATTACCCCTAGGGAAGTGTGCATACTGGGGATAGGACTAAGCCTTAAGAAAAATAAAAAGATAGGACATGCCTATAAAAAATTCAAAATTATAAGTCTAGGGGCTGGCCCGGTGGCGTTGTGGTTATGTTTGTGCACTCTGCTTCAGTGGCCCAGGGTCCACAGGTTTGGATCCTGGGCATGGACCTACACACCACTCATCAAGCCATGCTTTGGTGCTGTCCCACAGACAAAATAGAGGGCGATTGGCACAGATGTTAGCTCAGGGACAATCTTCCTCAAGCAAAAAGAGGAAGATTTGCAACAGATGTTAGCTCAGGAACAATCTTTC